CAATTTGGTCTCTAGTTCCTCTGCCCCTTTGAAATTCAGCTTGTTCTTCTGGAAATTCTCGATCCACATACTCCTGCAGCCTACCTTGGAGGATTTTGAGCATATCCTTGCTAGCGTGTGAAATGAGTGCAATTGTACAGTAGTTGGAGCATTCTTTGGCACTTCCCTTCTTTGGGATTGGGATGTAGACTGATCTTTTCCAATCCTCTGGCCACTTGCTGGCGCATTGAATGTAGCACCTTAACAGCATCATAGCAGCATGTTGTAAATCTTCATGTTGTTGTTTAGTCATGTCCGACTCTTCGTGACCCCATGGACCAGAGCATGCCAGGCCCTCCTGTCTTCCACTGCCTCCCGGAGTTGGGTTAAATTCATGTTGGTCACTTCGATGACACTGTCCAACCATCTCATCCTCTGTCGTCCCCTTCTCCTTGTAAATCTTCATAGAATTGGTCGATTTCAGCCTCTTCAGTATGGGTGGTTGGTGCATAAACTTGGATTACTGTGATTGTGAAAGGTCTGCCTTGGATTCGTATTGAAATCATTCTATCAATTTTGAGATAGTATCCAAGCACAGCTTTTCCCACTCTTTTGTTGACTATGAGGGCTAATCCGTTTCTTCTACTGGATTCTTACCCACAATAGTAGATATGATAATCGACTGAATTGAATTCGCCCATTCCTGTCCATTTCAGTTCACTGACACCCAGGATGTCAATGTTTATTGTTGCCATCTCCTGTTTGACCACATCTGACTTACCAAGGTTCATAGATCTTACATTCCAGGTTCCTGTGTAGTATTTTTCTTTGCAGCATTGGACTTCCCCTTCACAGTACTCCTGCACCAAACACAAAACCCTCTGCAACACAGCTGCCATTATTGGCCTTACTGTGGAAATAAATCAATTGAGTTTAGGTTTGACTGCATCCAGTCATACTTAAGAGCCAGTGTGTTGTAGTAATAGAGGGTTAGACTAGGGTCAGATGACCTATGTCCATTCCCACTGAGCCATAGAAACTCACTGGAAGGGTGACAGCGGTAAATGACTCCTTGAGCATCTCCCATTCCTTGAAAATGGAAGTAACTTGTAAACACGTGATAACAACATCCAGACTTTCCACACCCCTGTTTTGTGGGGAAAAAGTGAGTCTTATGGTGCAAAAAATACAGTAACTTGTAAACACGTGATAACAACAGCTACCCTACATCGTCACAGCAGTTGAATAGAATTGTAAATCTATCACTCAGAATAGATTTAGAGTTGGTTGAATAAAATTTCCTGCTTTTATTGTGGTTAGTGCACTTGAGCTTTCCAGCAGAGAATTTTAAGTAGCTCACCAAACTACAAATCTCAGGATTCTATAGGTTGAAGCTGTGGCCATTGAAATGGTATTAGACTGTTGTAAGATCTTTATCAGGACTCATCAAAATTCCACTACAGTTTTATAAGTTTTTAGATTCTCTAGAAAAATTCATCAGGCCACATGGTATGAAAATAAGGGGCTGGGAAAAGAAACAAGAAATTCCAAAAAAAGGCAACCACATCTAGCCTAAAGGTATTGGCTAATTGTGCATTTTAATTTTTCACCATGAACCAGCATAGCTACTTTCATTTTTTATTTTTTGAGTTTACCATGTGCTATCTCATATTAGGAATTGTGCTGAACATTGTGCAGGAGCATCATGGTATAGTCTCGGTCCTAGCTTTGAACCTGTTAATTATTCTCCCTTCATGTTTTTCGGTCAGGTTTACTTCAAAGTAACTGGGCTTAACATTGGAGGCTCTGGATGCTAAGTACAAAATGCTTTGTAAATTGATCAAAATATAAGCTTCCATGCATGTGCTGTGTTTTGCTAAACACTGGTGTTTAGTAGATTATGTTTTCAATAGAAAATACACTTTGAGAATGCTGACAATCACAAAGGGGAGAATACACTTATCACCTGACATGAAACAAGATGATTAAACAAGTGCAGGTGACAATACTGTGTGTGTCTGTGTGTGTGTGAGAGAGATTGAAATTTGCACAGAAGTTTAAAGCAATCTCTCTGCTGTTACTGTTTTCTTTTTCTTTCAGTAATTTGCCACCTTCCTTGTATGAATGGAGGCCAATGTAGCTCAAGAGATAAGTGCCAGTGCCCTCCTAATTACACTGGTAAACTTTGTCAGATCCCTGTGCAGAGCAGCAGTGCTCCAAAACTTTATCATAATCCACAGCAAGCAAGCAAGCCCATGGGATCACATGTCATCCATTCCACGCATACTTTGCCACTGACGATGCCGGGGCAGCAAGGAGTAAAAGGTAAACATTTTTCCTCCCCTTTCTGTGTCTGTTGGCTGTAGTTTTGCATTTTAATTTTGGCTGCCAGACTACTAGAAGCAATTCTAACATCTGCCCACATAACAGAAATTCAGAGTTTCTCAGGAGTGGCAGAATGGTATGTTTTCCTTAGGTGGTTCAAATAGTATAAAATATGTCCCAAAAAAGTTGGTTGCTAAGTTGTTTTCACTTTCATTCATCTCAACACAGAAGGGGGGGGAGCATTCTCAATTTCAAAATGAAACCAACTACTGAGTTTCTGTTCAGAAAATATGTTTCCCTTCAGAGTCTTTATTGGTTGGTTGGATTTTTCTTTATCTTTTTCATATCTTTGCAGCCAGACAGGAATCCAGGAGAAGGGAGAGGATGAGTGAGGGAGAAGAGAAACAAGCTGGCTGGAGAGAGGGAGAGAGACAGAGATTGAAAGCATTGTTGTAGCTTTGATCATTTAAAATTAGATAGCCATTGCTAGACAGTCATAGTAGTAGGCAAATTTTAGCCTCTTGCTGACCGCCATAATACTCTATAGGTATATACAAAATATCTTCATTTATGTTACTTATAAAGTTTTTACTTTTCAGTATTCAGTCAGTATTTTGGGGGCACTGAGCATACTCAGGCCATCAACAGGCTGTTTTGAGGGCCTGTACCCATTATAGAACTGTGCTTGTGGTTGTGGTTGTTGAGATCTTGAGGTGAACTTGAACCTGCTGATGATTCTCCCTTGTGTCAATTTTGGCTACAGGAGTAGCTGTGCCACTTGAAGAACTAGATTGCAATTATGCTGTGCATTGCTGCTTGATATGAGCAGCAGCAGCAGCATCTTAGAACTGACGAGTTAGATGGCAATATCTTCTAATGGCAAAAAAAAAAAAGTCAAGGCCTGAGAGCATCAGAAGCCCTCTGGATGGAACTGCAAGTGATAATTTCTATACAGAAGGATTCTGTGTCTCTTAACCTTTTAAAACTCATATACAGTGGTGCCTCGCAAGACGATGTTAATTTGTTCCATGAAAATCGCTGTCTTGCGAAAACATGGTCTTGCGAAATGCGGTTCTCCATTGGAATTCATTGAAATTTATTTAATGCGTTCCAATGGGGGAAAATAGTCATCTTGAGAAAATCGTCCACAGAAAACATGGTCTTGCAAAATGCGGTTCCCCATTGGAATTCATTGAAATCTATTTCATGCGTTCCAATGGGGGGAAAACCTGTCTTGCAAAGCATCAGTCTAAAAAAAAGTCTTGCAAAACGCGGTTCCCCATTGGAATGCATTGAAATCTTATTTAATGCGTTCCAATGAGGGGGGAAAAGTCTTGCGAAGCATCGGTCTTTTAAAAAAGCTGTCTTGCGAAGATCATCCATGCATCTTGCGAAGCGCAACAGCGATCACAAAAACCCATCGTCTTGTGGATTAATCGTCTTGTGAGGCAATCGTCTTGCGAGGCACCTCTGTACCTTTTGTCAAACATAAAAATCTCATGCCGACTTTTCCACCTGCTGGGGTTTTGTGTCATTTTGGACTGGAAAAGGCAGAGGGGGGAGTGGCTCTTTCCTCTCCATGCTTAATCTGACACCACCATTGGAAGAAAAGGAGAAAATGCTGGACAAGTGGCATCCACACACAGCAAACTGTACACTACAGCATAGCTCAGAGGCAAAGAAAAGATAATAGAGGCACTACTTCATGTCATAGCTGATATTATAATGATGTAAACAACTCAGGGAAAAATAGCTTTGTTTGGCATTTGAACCTGGTATTATGATAATGAAGTCTGGATTCATATGCCAGCAACATGCCCTTTTCAAAAAGTTATGACATATGTGGACATATTCAATCACAATGTGGTGTATAATATTATAACAAGCAATCTCCTTACAAGTTTGTCATTCAGATGGAAGGGTGAGCAAATGGGTTATGTACACAGGATCTACTTACAGTGATTTTTCGCCATCATTTGCCAAGTTTAGAGGATATAGAGCACACTTTGTGTTTTTAGGAGCCAACTTAAGACCTGGCTCTTTTGGCAGGCTTTCCCTCCTGTCATCACTTGATTGTTTTTTCCCCTATCTTGAACTATATTATTATTGTTGCTTTTTATTTTATTATATTGTTCTTCTTCTATTTTTATTGTTAGCCGCTCAGAGTAGACATGTGTCTAGATGGGCAGGGTGTACATTTAATAAATAAAATAAATAAATTGAAAAGTTGCCATGTATCTGACCATGATTCATCAGTGTACTTCGGTGTTCAGCCTTCCTGTGGTATCCAGCTGTGACACAAAAGTCTTTCACAGCCCTTTGGAGCAGATTTTCTAGGTTGCAAAGAAGACTGCAGGAGGCAGGATTGCAAGTTCTGACAGAAGCATCAGGATCCAGCAATAGTATGCTATGCATTGCTGCTTGATATCAGCATTGGCAGCATCTTAACTGAAGAGCTGGATGGCTGTAAATCTTTAGAATGTTTGAATTTGACAACTTTTCTTGTGGATTTTATTTTATTTTATTTCCACTCCTTTTTACAGTGAAATTTCCTCCCAATATTGTGAACATCCATGTGAAACATCCTCCTGAAGCTTCAGTGCAGTTTCATCAAGTTTCAAGAATTGATAGCACATCATCTGGACAAAAAAACAAGGCAAAGCCATCCCAGTCAGGACACTCACAGGTTTCTTATCAAAGTATACCCTTTCAGAAGACCCAGAAAATACATTCAACCTACTCACATCAACAACCTATGTCTCATATGTTCCCCATTTCTGGTAAAACCCAGCTTGGACGGTGCTTCCAGGAGACTACTGGGACCCAGGTAAGAAGTGTTTCACAGCAGCTTTTACAGACACTTAATCACTAAGCATGGGCTGTATCTAATGCTGGAGTTTTCTTTGTAAAATAGAAAAATCCAGCATCTATGGGAGAGATCCTCCGACCCATTTCAGACCACCCAAGGCACCTCTAGAGGGGCTGCAAACCCCCTGCGCTGGTTTTTCTGCTGCTTCTGGGTTTTCATAGAATAATAAAATACTGGATTTGGAAGGAACCTATAAGGCCATCATGTCCAGCTGCCCACTCAATGCTGGAATCTAGCTTAAAATATATCTGACAGATGGCTGTCTAACTTTATCTTGAATGCCTCCAGTGTTGGAGAACTCAACACCTCTGAGGTAATTGGTTCCATTGTCGTACTGCTCTACAAGTTAGGAAGTTTTTCCTGATATTTTGCCAAAATCTGACTTCCTCTAACGTGAACCCATCATTATGTGTCCTGTGCTCTGGAATGATGAGAACAGATCCTGCACTCCTTTATATGACCACTTCTTATGACTGCCTTTCAAGTACAGTATTTGAAAAGTGCTATCATATCTCTACTCAGTTTTCTCTTCTCAAGGCTAAACATGTCCAGATCATTCCATGTTTCTTCTTTCCTTCTGGCTAGGCTTCCAGTCCCTTAAATCATCTTTGTTGACCTCTTCTGAACATGTTCCAGTTTGTTTGCATTCTTCTTAAAGTATGGTATCCAGAATTGGAAACAATACTCAAGATGAAGCTTAGCTGTTACCAAATAGAGGGGAACTAGTGCTTCACATGATTTGGAGACTATGAGTGTAATCAGATGGGCATTTGTTCACTGTTTGATCCAAAGCAGGGATGTCCTGCTTAGCTCCTTTTCCCAACAATCAGATGATATAATTGCCAGAGTAAACTAGCCCATCCCCAGAATGTTCCTACCTGCACTTTTCTGAGTCCATGTATTTTTTGGTACCAGCTTACATAGGTTCATAAATCTTACATTCCAGGTTCCTGTGCAGTATTTTTCTTTGCAGCATCGGACTTTCCTTTCACTTCCATGCATGTCCACAGCCGAATGTCCTTTCAGCTTTGGCCTAGCCACTTCATTAGCTCTGGAGCTACTTGCATTTGTCTTCTGCTGTTCCTCAGTAGCATGTTGGATGCCTTCCGACCTGAGAAGCTCATCTTCCAGCATCATATCTTTTAGCCTTTTGTTTCTGTCCGTGGAGTTTTCTTGGCAAACATACTGGAGTGGCTTGCCAGTTCGTGCTCCAGGCGGACCACGTTTTGTCAGAACTCTCCACTGCGACCTGTCTGTCTTGGGTGTCCCTGCATGGCATAGCCCATAGCTTCTCTGAATTACTCAAGCCCCTTCGCCACAACAAGGCAGCAATCCATGAAGGGGTAATAAAATTGTTATGTTCTTCCAACCTGAGGAGAAATCATTGATAAGAGTACAATTCTGAAACCATCTGTTGGTCCACCTGATTTCAGTTGTTCTGTCCAGCCCACATTTAGTTAATTTACTAATTGGAATATCATGGGGCACTCTATCAGAAGCTTTGCTCAAGTCACGGTGTATTGGGTCTACAGCATTCCCACTGTCTACCAGGACAGTTACCTGATTTTTTAAAAAGGAGATCAATTAAATCTGGCAGGATTTGCTGTTAATAAATCCATGCGTGCTTACAGACTGATTGCTTTAGAATCTGCCCAGAATTTCCTTCAGGATTGATGTCAGGCTGACTAATCTGTAGTTCCCAGGTTCCTTCTTTTTGCTCTGTTTTGAAGGTAGAGACATCATTAGCCCCCTCTCCAATCATCTGGCATTTCAGTCATCCTCCATGATGTCTAGTAAATAGATAGTGGTTCTGAGAGTTCTTCAAGCAGTTACTTCATTACTCTTTAATGCAGTTCACCAGGCCCTGGAGATTTGAACTTGTTCAGAGTAATAAGGTACAGTATTCCTTGACTATTTGTCTCAAGTGGAGTGTGCCTGCTCCACTTGTATTTCACATTTACTAGGAGGGACATTTTTTGGGGGAGAAAACCAAGACAAAGCAGGAATTGAGCACTTCTGCTTTTTCTTTGTTGTCTGTTACCATTTTGACATCCCCATTGAGTAGCTGAGCCACTGTTTATTTTCCCTGTCTTTTGCCATGCACGTACCTGAAGAATATGTTTTTTTGTTGTTGTTTGTAATATCTCTTGCTAACCTAAGTTCCTTCTCAGCTATGCTTTCCTAATGCTATTACTGCAATTCTTCACTGACTGTCTGTATTCTGTCTTCATGGCATGGCCTTTCTTCCTCTTCCTGTATGTCTCATTTTTTGTTTTTCATGTCCTCTCTGAGCTATATGTGAAGCCACAATGACCTTTTTTGCTGTCTCCCACCTTTTCTTCTTGTTGGAATTGTTTGTAGTTGTGCATTTAGAATTTCCTGTTTTGGAAACTCCCACTCCTCTTGGACTCCTTTTCTTATTAGGAGATCTTGTCATGGGACCTTATTTATCATTGTCCTGAGATTGTTAAAATTGGCTTTTTTCAAATCCAGCGTATATGTGTGGCTATACTCTGCTTTGGTTTCCTTTGAAATCAAGCATTCCAGTAGAACATGCCTCCTCTCGCCAAGTTCCCCTTACTGCCACTTCCTCCACCAAATTGTTTCTATTGGTTTCTTATTAGGAGATCTTGTCATGGGACCTTATTTATCATTGTCCTGAGATTGTTAAAATTGGCTTTTTTCAAATCCAGCGTATATGTGTGGCTATACTCTGCTTTGGTTTCCTTTGAAATCAAGCATTCCAGTAGAACATGCCTCCTCTCGCCAAGTTCCCCTTACTGCCACTTCCTCCACCAAGTTCTTTCTATTGGTTAGAATAAAGGATAGCTAGTCCTTTATTTATTTATTTTTATTTATTTATTGGACTTATATACCGCCCCATAGCGCTACAAGCACTCTTTAGTTTCCTTCTCCACTTTTTGTAGGAGAAAATTATCAGCTACACAAGCCAGGAGTTTCTTGGAATGGCCATACTTCACGGAATTTCCCCCCAAAAGATATCACTTCCTCCAACGAGTTGTCTCTTTTGGTTAGGATCAAGTCAAGGATAGCTAGTCCTCTAGTTTCCTTCTCCACTTTTTGTAGGAGAAAATTATCACTACACAAGCCAGGAATTTCTTGGAAGGGCCATACTTTGCAGAATTTCCCCCCAAAAGATACCATGACAATTGAAATCTCCCATCACTACATTATGTCTCTTTGAGATGCTTGCAGTTTGTTTTTCATCTGCATCCTGCCCTTGATCAAGCAGGTGATAGTAGGTTCCAACTACCACACTTTGAAATGCTTGCAGTTTGTTTTTCAAAGTTTCATCTGCATCCTGCCCTTGATCGAGCAGGTGATACAGTAGTACAGTAGACTCCAACTACCATGCTCTTTTTGTTTTTTGCCCCAGCTACATTGATCCAGATGCTCTCAATGGGGCAGTCAATCTCTTTCTCTTGTATTTCTGTGCAGGAATGTGTATTTTTGACATATACTGCAACTCCACCTCCCTTTCTATTTTTTCGATTCTTTTTGAACAATTTATATCCTTCAGTTGGTATATTCCAATCATGGGAGTTGTCCCACCAAGCTATTCCTATCAAGTCATAATTACTCTTCTGAACTAATATTTCCAGATCTTCTTGTTTGTTTCCCATATTCCTGGCCTTCGTGTATAGACACTGGAGATTGTGTGATTTGGTACTTGCTTTTCTTTGTACATTTCTATTAATATGGTTGTTAATGTTATTAGGACGGTTTGATGCGTTCCTCTTCTTCTGCCTAAGGCTTCATCTGTCTTTACCTCTGCTTGTGTCTCCCTCCCTATTCCGATTCAATTTAAAGCCTTCCTGCTCAAGTTCTTTGTGCTATGGCCAAACATATTCTTCCCAATCCGTTTGGGTTGCAAGCCATCGCTTGCTAGCCATCTAGAAAGCTTAGCCTGTGATCCCAACAACCAAATCCCTCACATTGACACCACCTTCATAGCTGAAGTATTTTCCTTTCCTTTTCTATTCCTCTTCTAAGTACTAGTAGGGTGGATGAGAAAACTATCAGGGCCCCAAAGTCCTTGAGTTTCCTTCCCAGAGCTTCAAAGTCTGATGCGATGTATTTGAAGTTGCTCTTGGCTGTCTCGTTTGTTCCCACATGGATGAGAAGAAAGGGATATGTATCTGTGAGTTTTATGAGTGATGGCAATCCTTCTGTCACATCCCTAATCTGTGCTCCAGGGAGACAGCATATCTGGCAGGTCTGTGGATCTTTCCCGGCATACTTCAATTTCCATCCCACACAGTAGGGAATCTCCTATTACAATTACTCTTCTCATCTTTTTATAGGGTGTGGGTTCAGTGCCTCTGCTTGGCTGAGTTGTAGTCCCTCTCATATACTCCTGCATGGTCTCCTCTTTTGACTTTGTCCACTTGCTGTCTGCCAGACTCCTCATCAAGAACCTGAAAACAATTTTGCAGTTCCACCGGTGAATATAGTGTTTTTCTTTTGCTCCTAACTGTGACTCTTTTCCATGGTGCTGCCTCCATTATGTTTGCTCTCTCTTTCTCATTCTCTTCCTCTGTCTTCCCTTATTGCTCTTACATTTCCAGGGCCTCCATTGACTGCTGCTACTGCTGCTCATGAGTTCTGTCAGTGAATAATTCATCTTCCCTTATAACCTTAAGTGTGGCTACTCTCACTGCTCCATTTCTCTCACTTTTTCTTTTAATAGTACCACCAGTTTGCAGTTGCTGCTTGTGTACACCATGTTACACTCAGGCACTCAGGAAATATTTCTATTTCTTCACATCCCAAGTTTTTGGCCTTCCGTTATTCATTTAATAATATATTAAAAGAAAGTATTACATAAAATGAAATGGCTAGAACACATATTTTATTTTTAAACTTCCAGAATTTATCCCTGATCAGGTGTGCAATTACTGGTATCCTAAAGGACTAAGAAGTTGAACTTCGGCATA